TTGGAGGTGGTCAGCTGTGTTGGGGGTGACGGCAATTTCCGGGGCTCACTGTAACGTTATCTTCAAGCTTCGCATGGATGACGAGGACCGCGAGTCATGGGAGGAAAGCCGAGCCGAATCCATTGCCGTGCAGTGGGCCGAGTTCGTCATTGCAGCGAAATAAGAGAAGTACGCATACTCGTGCTGCCCAATGGCGCCAAGTCCATTTTGAAGTACTGACTGATCGATGGCAAGTACAGTAGTACTGGCCCGAGCTGGGGCTAGTCACCAACAAGCTTCTTAACACGGCGACGGCGAGTGCCGTCTCTGAGCGGAACTCTCATGTTGAAGATTTTTAGCTTTTAACCTAAAACCTTCTTCCTGACAGAGTATTTAGGTTTTTTCCACCCCGACCCCCTTCGCACAAATGTCTCTGGTTACATTCGTCGTAACGGGATGATCGGGTCAGGGCAGTTGTCGCCGCGGCGTTGTACGGCGTTGCACGGTTCGCAAGTGCAGGAGAGAAGTCATGCACTTCACGGTTCTCCACACGTTCTCGCCCCCGCACGTTCTTGACCCATTCCCGAGACGATATATAGTTCCAGATGCTGGCCAATCCATCGGGCGTGGCTCGTTGGATACATGACTGGCGGGCACACAAACGCCATAATTTTTGTTATCTTGAATGAATATCTGAATCTCACTATTAATATAATACATGGATTTCATTTTTCATCGTCAATCAATGATAAGAAAACCGTTTGATTGGGTAAAAAGCTCGTTTTGGTGCGCCCAAGTCCACGAAGATCCTGGCGATATTTCATGAACTAGCCAATCAAAACGCATTTCAACTTTAAAATGAAAGGTGAGATACGCACGACAGAATATGGCCACATGAAACGGCCGTCGCCCTATACTTAGCTGCCTGTTTCTCATATATCCGCCAAAAACATCTAGAAAATTGTATCGCGTCGCGATTATCTTTGTCACAACTGAAAACATCTTGATTTCACTATGGTCAGTATAAACTTGGCGGTGGTGTCGTGCGTGCATCCCACTTTACCCAAAAATACTTTCGAGTCGCCGCCAGCCGGGCCTAACATTGCAAGATCTTCCTGCTACGCGGCGACGGACATGCACACTAGGCAGCCCGTGAACGCTGCAGTGCTTGCGGAGAGGCGGAAGTGCAACAACCTGTCCTTTATCAATGAAGGAGAAGTTAAGGAACCCACGCATTACAACGCGCGCACACCACAGGCTGGACGCTCCAACGACGACGCGATCATCGACGTTGCCGAGTTCAATGAGACAGTCACACCGCAGACCCCACGACTGCTCTTGCCGACGAGTCCGTCGGCAAACCCATCGGGCGCCCGCATCAGTAGTCTGGTCAAGTCCGAACGTGCCTCTCGTGTCTCTATGGTCTTGCAGTCCACGGCCGTGTACCAGCGCTTGTCCATGGCGGTGGGAGTGCAGCCGTCGCTTGACGGCATGTTGTCTGAAAGCGCGCGCACGCCTGTCCTATGTGACGAGAAGCCCAGCTGTATGTATTCTTTCGATTCCAACGCATCTGCGATGGACACGCGGCGGCACGCTGGCGGTGCTCCGTCCAACATTCTCGGCAGCATGCGCGACGTCGACACAGTGCGGGGCATGAGCCTTTCGATGGCCAAGCTTCACGCACTCCGCGATCTGCTAGGCAGCATCACAGACGTCAACGGACACATCGACCGCGCCACGTTCTCGCACACGTTTGACATTGCCGACCCGTCGGCGTTTGTCTGCTCTGCCAACCCCAACCAAATCAACGCGAAGGCGCTCCTCGTGGAAACGTGCGTCGAATTAGACATCGACGACGAGGAGAAACTCGCGTTCATTTTCGACTCGATCGACCAAGACAAGAGCATGTACGTCACGGCCGCGCAGGTGGCAGACTTGTTAGCGGCCAACTTTGCGTCGTTCAAGCTCGTCGCGGTGGGGACGAGTTTCAAGGACATGGCAGACACGCTGTTTGCCAAGGTGGGCGTCGCGGACGACCGAATGACGTACAAGGTATTTCGCGAAGTGTTTGGACCATTCCTGGCGACAGCGTACGACGAGCACGACGACGGAAGCGACGCCTCGTTCGTGGAACAGCACGTAGACGGCCACGAGCCCGAGATTAAGTCCAAGATATTGGTGCTCTACGAGCGCCACCACTTGCGCATCCTGTGGCTGCTGCTGTACTTTCAACTGAACGCGATCGTGTTTTTGTTCAAGTGGCACCAGTACCCTGTCGACCCTGCTCTCGGGTACGGCCTCAAGGTTGCCCGCGCTTGTGCGCAGGTGTGCATGCTCAACTTTGTCATTGTTCTCCTTCCCATGTGTCGGTCTATCGTCCAAGTCATGAAGCGCAGCGTCCTTTTGTGGCACATGATCCCATTTGACGACCATATCGAGTTCCACAAGATCGTCGGGACGACGCTCCTCACGGCAGGGCTCGTCCACACCGGTGCGCACGTGTCCAACATGCTCCATCTGTACTGTCTCGCGACACCGGCACAGATCCGCGCGTCCATCTTCGTCACGCACAACGTGAGCATGTTTGCCAGCGGAACGACGCCGCCGTTCACCGACATGGTGTCGTCGGTGCCGGTGTGGACCGGCGTCATTCTCCTCGTGATCACGTGTATTTCGTTCCCGTTGGCGGCCATTCCCAAGTTCCGCCAAGGCAAGTTCAACTTGTTTTGGTACAGCCACATGCTGTTCTTTCCATTTCTGTTGGTGGGGTGTTTGCACGGCCTGGCGGGGTGGCTCGCGACACCGACGTCGTTTTTCTGGATTGCTCCGCCGCTCGCGCTGTACTTGCTGGAGCGGCGCCTCCGCTACGCCAAGGTGTTTACGACGCCGCTTCAGATCGTCCGCGCGCGCATGTTGGACGGCGTGGTCGCGCTGTACATTGAAAAGCCCAAGCGATTTCACTACCGTCCTGGCATGTACTTGTATCTGAACGTGCCGAAATTGTCGAGCCACGAATGGCACCCGTTCACAATCTCGTCGGCACCGGGCGACCAGTACTTGAGTGTTCACATTCGGAATTCCGGGGACTGGACCAATGCCCTCCACGACTTGATCCATCGAGTGCACCGGGGCGAAGTCGCGTACCCTTCCGTGTTCATCGACGGGCCGGTGGGAGCGCCGACGCAAGACTACCATCGGTTCAAGACGATCGTCATGATTGGCGGCGGCATTGGGGTTACCCCGTTCGCCTCGATTCTCAAGGACGTTGTCCACTTGTGGGACGAGTATCGGTGCTTGAACTGCCAGCACGTCCGCCACCCGCGATCGTTCCGCATTCAAAAAATGTACTTTCACTGGGTCACGCGGGGCCAAGAGTCGCTCGGATGGTTTCAACACACGATGAATCAAATCGCCGACATGGACAAGGACAACGTGATCGAAGTCCACCAGTATTTGAGCACGGTCAAGTCGACGGACAAGTCGTTTCCCCAGCTCAAGATGATCCAGGCCGTGGTCCATGACGCGACTGGCCGCGACGTGGTTTCCGGATTGATCAATTCGAAACAAATGACGCACTTTGGCCGGCCCAACTGGGACGCTGTGTTCCACAACTTGACACGAAAGCATCGCGGCGAGGAAGTCGGCGTGTTCTTCTGCGGCCCCCACGCTCTCGACAAGGTTCTCCAGGAAATGTGCCTCAAGTACTCGTCGGAACCCGATACCGGCGGTGTCTATTTCGACTATCACTCGGAAAAGTTTGCGTGAAAGCACCCGCCGCTTATACGAATGCCTTTGGGCATGTCGCGACGTAGTGTACATAATTTATTCCCATCTGAATGTTACATCCATTTTTGGCTGAGTGGGCGACGCAGGTTACGGAGCATTGCCTTTGGTGTTCAGTTGGTAAGAGACTGCTCCAGCATCGGGCAAGTCCTTCAACAAGCATACACACCCAACGAATGGTTCCTTCACGCGTTCATGCATGTTGGGGTCGGTGTGCCCCCCTCGGCCGTCGAAGCACTTCACGTTTCCGACAAGATGGCGCCATTTCGAATTGGAATATTTTCGTGACAACTCCTTTTTGTGTATTTTCTGTCAAATAATTGTCCAGGATTGGTTGCCCCGTAGAGAATTTCATGAAAATGTCCAATTGTTAAAAAAATACTCAGCCACACGAGAAAATCTAGGCATTTATGCGGATTTTTCCATCATTTGAACGGAAAAAAGCCATCGGTTTTTTCGTGGAGATTCATGTATTTTTTGTTATTCGAAATTCGACGTTCTCCGGTGTCATGGACAGTTGGAACGTTTGGCACGAGGTTGTTGGCACAAGCTACCACGTCACTCTCGATCGTCGCACCGCTCTGCCATGCTCAAGGTCATCCTCCAGCACCACTCGAAGATGGGTGTGCTGTTTGTGATAGCAGCCATCATGTGGGAATACCCTCGCATCATGATGTTCCAGTACCTGCTGGGCATGGTCAGCGACACCATCCAGCGCAACACCCAACCTCGCGGCTTGCGTGTGTTCCAGTCCATGGTGCTCGCGGCCATGGTGGCTGCGATTGCGCACGACCTGTCGGTGTTTAATTCTGCTTCGTCTTCGACCAACGACTTCTCCACCGTTTCGTCGCCATATCCCCGTCGCATTTGGAAATACGCGGTCGCCACGCCCATGACGCTGTGCGGTGGCCTCGTTCGCATTCTGGGCGTGCCTGTATATTCACTCGTGGTTGCCGTGTGGGAAGCAGTCGTCGTCCTCTACGGATTCCCACTCGACGAAGCGCAATACAGTCGGCTCCATGATGCATATGTCCAGGAGCTTCGGTCGCGCCCAGAAACGGTACCGCCGCCGCATCTCTTGACCAACCTTGTCTACTTTGCCACCTCCTCGTCACCTTTATCGACTACTTCGATCAAACCCGACCAAATGGAGCCTCTCTGGACGTACGCGCGTTTTTCCGGCAAAATCGTCATTGCGCTGTTCTTTTGCGTGGTGTACGGCCTTGCTGCCTTTTGCAATGCGCCTGGACTTGGTACGCTTTGTCCTTTGCCGTTCCCCTCTTCATTTTCTCATTCCCCATGCTCGTAGAGGGTGAACACCTACGAGATGCCGCGCGCAACTGCGACGTCGACAGTGCCAGACGAGCGCTCTCACGTGGAACGGACCCCAACTCAAAAGGCCAAGACAAGGCAACCGCACTGCACATATGCGGCCAGCAGGCACTACCAGAGATGGCTCGGCTACTGCTCGAAGCCGGGGCGGACGCGAACGTGCGGGACTCCCTCGGGTTTTCGCCGCTGCACTGGGCAGTTCAACTTCGACGGGAGGAGCCTTGTGTCGAAAAGCGGCTAGAAATAATCCGTGTCTTGCTCGAGTATGGCGCAAACCCGCGGTTGGAGGATTTTCGAGGAAACACGCCGCTGTCGATTGCGTCGCGCGCCGAAAACGCTAGGGCTGGGCACGTCATTGCCATGTTTGATCGGGGAGACGAACGTTTTGCACCCGAGGCCACGACGACCCGCGCGATGGCGTTCCCAACCGTTAGTTGATATGTACATTACCAGGTGAAATTTACCAGATTTCTTGCATGTTGCTACTGGCGGCGCGTCTTCCGAGTACAGACCTCCTCCACCCCCGAGCCGCGCGGGACGTAATGCGGAGTGCTGCAACTTTACCGTGCCGGTTCGCATGCTGAGAATGCACATGGCGTGCTGCCCCACGACCACGTGACCGCGTGACATGCAACCGGCCGTAGCACTGGGCAGCAGCATACCCAACGTCGACGTGGTTCAATGCTGGATCGGAGATTCCCAACTGATTGCTGACGTAATGGCAAAGTTGGCAAGCACCCAGCTGGATTTTGGACCAGCAAGGGCATCGCAACGACTGTGGGATGGAGCCGTGGGGATCATCAACTCGATCGGGAGCACTTGCCTACACGCAAGCGACCGATTCGATCGACGCGACACCGACCGTAGCGGGGTGGGCATGCGCAAGTAATCGTGAAAGATTAAGGTTTATTGGACTCGCATGTTCAACACCCTCCTTGGAGATTCAACGACAAGATGCCGCCAAAGCACGACAGAGGGAGACGACGGAAGAGAAAAGGCGGCAGGTCGAGGCAGTAGGAACAACACCACCACCACCAAGCACGGCGGCAACACGCTTAGTATTGATGGCCCGACGACTTCTTCTTTTCACCCAATTCGAAGTGCTTGGTGCGCTTGATGGGGAGCTGCTTCTTGGCCTTGCACTCCTTGCATTCCATGCGCAACGTGATCTTCTTGGTGGTCTTGGCCTTCTTGTGGAACACGGGCTTGGTTTGACCACCGAAACCTTGTTGCTTTTCGTTATAACGACGAGCACCTTGGGCGTACTTGGAGGCCTTGCCGGCCTTGTACTGGGTCACCTTGTGCACGGTGTGCTTGCGGCACTTCTTGCCCTTGCAAAAGGTACGGCGTTCCTTGGGGATGTTCACCATTTGTTCTACAACGCACACACACCACCTACAGTCAGCCACGCTCCTGCTCCGCGCAACCTCTGTCGTCGTGGCCGAGCACACATAATAAAGAGTGCAGTCGCACCAAGTACACATCATGCACAGTGTGCCGCCTCTCGATGAGGGTACGATCGTCACCGAGCTGTAGCTTCGACCACGACGTCATGCCTTCGTCGGGAGGTCTTACCTCAGGGGATTCCTTGCGAAAAGTCCAATAATACAAATCCCGTGCGGCATCGCTCGGCTCCCCACCACCAAACTCGACTCTGTGACTTTGTATGGAGCAAGTCTGGACCAACCACCTCGCGTTTCGAATTATAGCCAATCAAGCACCATAAATCAAGCATTTTAACCAATCAAACTCGCTCCTGTACTCTCAAATCGCCGGAAACAACCTGGATGTATCCGGATGACCCTTGGCTGCAAGATCCGCAAGCATCACCGCAAGGACGTGCCGACGAACGACGTCGAGTAGATGGCGCGGCAGCGAGATGGAGAATGGAACGGTTGTTAGAAGATCGCTGAGCACGCAAACAGACACGGGCATGTAACGTTGTACATGTGACCAGGTCGAAAATAGATTCAAGGTCGCGTCGGGGCCAGGTTTGGATTACCGTCCATGCACGCACACCATGACTACACATGCGGGTTTCTCCAAAAAAGTCCACCACCACCAAACAGCGCAACGCCGTTCAGTGGCCATCTCACGCGGGTCTTCCTCGTGCTGATCACATCACGCATCGACATCTACCAACAGGACCCGCGGCCGACATTCAAAACAGCCATCCACAGCTCCTTCCCATTCGACCGCAAGACAAAGGTCCTTGACTGCTGCGACGTTTACTCTGGTTTGCCGCCGTACACGTTCTCCGTCACGTACGCACGTCTTGTCTGTGGATACGAGGTATCACCGTCCGCCGTAGGACGAATGGGAACACAATTCTCTTGACTGCTGAGACGTACGACGACATGCTGTCGTGGCTCGATGCGATTCGCGATTGCTTGGAACATCAGGCGCATATCCTACGTGGTGTGCTGTGGAAGAAGTCGGCGCGGCGGCCACAGCAACCGTGGACACAGCGCGATGTCGAGCTTGGCCATGTTTCTCTTACCTACGTATCGACGCGTCTGCACAAACGCGTGCGGAACCACGTCAAGCTCACGAGCCGGTCCTTAGTCGTCGACATGGAGGCGACCCGCGGGCATGCGCACGTGTTTGGGATCTCGTCCGGCGAAAGCACCATCACGTTCGGCGCGCCGTCGGCAGAAATTAAGGACAAGTGGCTCAAAGAGATTGAGATTCGCATTGCCAAGCAGCGCATCCAACGGCGGGTGTTTGAAAAGCCAACCGACTTTGCTGGGTTTGTCGTACGTTTTGATCCAATGTCTGCATGCTCGTGGCGAAGATCGTCCTCTCGGGGGCGACTGCAGGATCCCGTGGATCGGAAATTGTGTGCATTTCACCGGCCCATGATAGGACGTGCGGAAAGCGTCCAAGTCCAAGTGGCGGCGGCGCTTTGTCGAGCTCGAGCGCGGGGCGCTGGCCTTCAAAACAGACCAACGGAAGGTTGGCATGTCGACGCGCGTCCCGCTCGAGCTCATCACAGCAATCATCGCGACCCCGCCCGTCGACGAGAGTGGGCGATCGCTAGCGTTTGCCATTGAGCGGTTCGGAGCCGTCACGCTGTATTTGGCCGCATTCAGTGCGTCGGAGAAGCAAACTTGGTTGACCAAGCTCGACATGGCACGGCGCGACCACCTCCAACACGAACATCTCCCGAACGCTCCCGCAACGTATTTGTTCCCGGAAGCGATGCGAGCATTGCTGGCGCACACGGGCTACCGATCGGTGGACGTCGCCGACCACGAGGACCTTGACATGACGATCGAACAGCACCAGCGACGCATCTTTGTCGTCGTCCCGACGGCATGCGAGGAAGCAGCCACACATGTCCCGCAAGCCAGGTACGAAGCGGCACTTCGTTGGAATACGATATGGGTGACGTTGCTCGGCTGGCTCGGGCTTTCCCGACTTGTTCCAAACATTCGTCCTGACATTTATGTTTGCCGCCGCAGCGTCCTCGTCAAGGTCAAAGATGCGGCAGGAACGCACACGGACTTTGATGCGATGTGGCATCTACTCCGCGTGCACGCGCGGCCTCTTCGGTTGACGTTTCGCCTTCCCATCTCGAAGGATGGCCTGCTTCGTGTCAAGACCGAAGTGCCTGTGCCAGTAGGTCGCCATCACGAATACCATCCATGGCATCGGCTTCATCTTGTGCCCCAAATGGGGCACGTTCTACAGGCCCTCACCAATGGTTGCTGCTGTAGCAATGGGTACCGAGGCATTGCGTCATTGCCGACGGAACACTGAGCTGGTACTCGATCCAGAAACCGGCCGACACGGACGATAAAGACACATTCGCTCCTCCGATCCATGTGATCCGTCTTCGAGACTGCGCCGTGACACTGTTGAGAGACATTGACGTGGACTACGGCGACATGCCCAACTGCTTTGTCCTGTCCTGCACAAACGTTGCTTCTCCGCCTAGACCAACCAACGCGCCAACGTCGTCGCCCGGCCCCAACGGAGGCCATCGCCAGTCCCCCCAACACTCGCCGCCGTTCTCTCGTGTGCTCTTTTCCGCGTCGTCGGCGAAAGAGTGTGTCCTTTGGATATCCCTTCTCCAAGTCGAAATATGCACGTTCCGTGGGGAGATGGCGTTTGGACCGAGACCGCCACCCATCGCCGAACGCCGGCGCAATAACCTCGTCAAACAGGTCAAAGTCATCGCGGACAAGGTGTACGCGAAGACCAAGGCCGACGATGCTGTCCCCGACGACCCGGCACCGCCACCACTCGAGTCTCCCGGGCCGGCCGCTTTGTCCATCAAACGACACCAGATCAACGGGATGGATGTCGAAGACCATGGCAACGATCCCGATGCCACCGTCGACGATGATGACGACGACGACGAGTTTCTCACTGTCTCGGAACGCCTGCACCGGCACCTGGTCGAGCGGCCGGCGCGCTACCTCCGGACCACCACGCAAGATGTCGTCCAGCGCGCGTCAACCTACGCAGCACAGCACCGGCAATCGATGGAAGCGATGCCGTTGTACCGTCGGTTGAGTGAAGCCAAGGCGAAAATAGAGCTCGAGTTGGCCCCGGCCAAGGAGGAAGCGGAAAAAGTCGCGAAAAAGATCTCGGAAGCAGTACATGAAACGCTGGCCGACGTCCAGCACCGCATTATGATCCCAGACCCCGAGACGAGCGACTACTTTAACGGGAGCAAGCGGTACTTGGACGCGGTGATCCTAGGCACGGTCGTACGCCAGATCGAACACGTTGCGCGAAAGAAAGCGCTGCGATTCATCGAAACAGAGGGAATCGTCCAGGGGTTGCGGCGGGCGACCGTCGCCAACAACAGCACCGTCACGGCCGAGGCAGACCATCGCTTCAAGCACTTGGTTGCCGCCGCCGCGGCACAGGCCGCAATCCTAACCGAGCAAGCTGCGCGTCAGTTCTTCATCGAAGTGTCAGGTGGCGCGCCAAAGACAAGCCACGAAGGTCTCTCCCGCCTGTTGAGGCACTTGGCAGGAAGCGCTCGTGCCGATGCGAGCCTAGCGGCTTTTGACGTCGCCATCGACGACCTCGAGGCCAAGAACCGACTGACGTATGCGATATCGGTCGACGAATTTGTTGCCGTCGCAACATCGACCATTTGCGATCGGCAAACAATTGACGGCATGGCTCGATATGCCCAAGGAGTTGTCATGCAAATCTAATGGTTTGTGCGAAGAGTCGCTTCCACAGTTGTTGATGGCAATCGCATTGACCTGCCCGAACCACTTGGACGCGATGGCGAGTGCGCATAACACTACACTGCGGTCCAGCCGAGCGAACGTCGGGAAAAACGATGGCGAGGGAGGCGTCAGGCAGCATGAGGCTTGTCCTTATTCGTCTCAATGTAGTCTCGCAGGGTCTTTAATCCATCAAACCAGTCGCTCCACTTGTCCAAGTCCGACGCCAAGTCTGGTTCCTACCAGCCATTCAAATCCGTCGCAGTTGGGAACGCATGTCCTGGCGGCGGCGCCATACAAATGGCCTACCTCGAGCACGTAGATAACGCCGTTTTTGTCGCTGCCTGCACCTTGGCGCAGTGGGCGAAACCCCAACGCCAACAAGCATTGCAAACCACCGGGGAACTGTCCCAGCTCGCGGTGAAAGTGTTCGTTAGCAGGGTTGATGTGCCGGTATGTTGCGTTCTCGGGGGCCGCGCATATGTTCTTGAGAAGAATCAACAACGTATTCTTGGCCGTACGGAATTTCGCCGCGTCCTGCTGGAAATGGCCATACAACAGCCGCAGGGCCATTTGAAGCCCCTCCAGCCCGATGGGGATGCTCTGATTGAGCTCGTCCTGCAATCGCTGCGCCTCGGCTGTTTCTCGCTCCTTTTCCGCTTGTACACGAGCTCGTTCTTCTCTCATAGCTTGCGCTGCCTTTGCAAGGGCCTCGCGCTCGACCTGTGCTGCGAGTTCAGCAGCTTCTTGAGCCGCTTTCGCCGTTTCTCGAGAGGCGGCGACGTGTTGAGCTTGGATTCGTGCCTGTTCCTGTTCGAACTTGGATCGCTCAGCGTCAATTGCGTCCTGTTCTTGCTTGCGCAATTGCTTGTTCTTTAGTGCTGTGGACACCTTGGGCGTGAGATCGTCTGAAGCAACAACCACCGCTTCTTTCAACGACGCAACCCGCTCTGCCACCGCGAGTATCTACCGAGCTGCATGATGCATGGCTTTACCAAGATCTCGTACCTTTTCCTGCATGGCAGGTCCGTATCGAGGATCGTTTGTGATCGGGTCTCGCCATGCGAGCTTGTCGATGAATCTTTGAATCTTGTCGTCCATGTCAGGTTGTGATTTCTTCAGCTGCTCGAGTAATGCCATGTTTTGGAGAAGTCTCTCATCCTGTTCTGATGATGGCATGCTCGAGTCGATCTCTCGATCCATGCTATGCCGTAGGCGTTCAAGCACGACCTCCGCGTCCTCTACCTGCGCCGTCAACCGCTTGAGTTCCATCGAAGTTCGACAAAGTTGCAGCGTTCACCAAATTTTGATTGTCGCCATATGATTGGACAAAATATACGAATTATAGCCAATCCGAAGGCTTCCTTGAATCGCATTTTTGCATTTTTCTCAAACCCACAGAACTATCGTCATGGACCACGCGCATTCGACCTTATCACCACCTCCGTCGCCCGCGGCGGCGCAGCTGCAGCAGCAGCGCGCCGTAGTTGTCAAGGACGATAGACAGCGCGCAGAATGTTGCCACGAAGGTGAACACAACCACGCGGAAGAAGAGAACGAACCAAAGGAGCTCCAGTTGACGGATTGTATCGAATTCGGCCCGGACTGCGAGGTACGAATCCGAGACTTGAACGATAGACGTCGTCGTGCGCATTGTCATGTGGTTCGCAGGATATTTACCACGTTGGTACGGCTGGGCTGAAGGCTCGTGTGTTGAACGGTCTGGACGACATGGTGCAGCTCAAGGTAGACTGGTTCTCGTGGTCGTGTGGGAATCTCACGGCCCGCAGGAAATACGAGTGCGATCAAACTTGCTGTACAAAATGACTGGCATTGAGAACCTTGAAAACCTGACGCACTTGGAACTGTACGACAACCAGATCAAGAAAGTGGCCGGCCTCGACCGCCTCGTCAAGTTGAGATATCCTTTTCGACCTGTGTTGCCATCCCGCAATAGCTCTCTTGTGTCGTTCCTTGACCGGATTTGTTTCGATCTGCACAGTGCTCGATCTATCGTTCAACGAGATTCGCACCATCCCGGACTTGTCCCACCTGACCCAGCTCCAAGAATTGTACGTCGCCAACAACAAGCTCACGCACATTACGGGGATCGCGTCTCTCTCGACGCTCAAGAAGCTCGACTTAGGCGCGAACCGCATCCGCGTCCTGGAAGGTTTGGACAATCTTATTGAGTTGGAGCAGCTCTGGCTCGGCAAGAACAAGATCACCAAGATTCAGGTTGGTTCCATGCCTTCATCATCATTCCCCGATGAAATACACGCTCTCATGAGCAAGCTGGCCGTCGACCCCAAACGTCCCTCCTCGACATGACGTCCCCAACGACGATTCTCTAGACCGTTGCCGACGTTGACGTCTACTCGTAGGGGCTTGAAGCGCTCGTCAAGCTCAAAATCATCAGCGTGCAGGTCAGCTGCTCTCTTTAGCATCCTCTGGCCAACGTCCGCTTCAATGCCACTGCAATAGAGCAATCGCCTCGTATCCATTGATAACCTGGACGCCAATACCGAACTCCAGGAGCTTTACTTGAGCCACAACGGCATCGAAGCCATCCAGAACGTGGCCCACCTCGTGCGTGCCGCACGACACAGCGTTGGACGCGCATGCTCAGTCTTGCATGTGTAGTCAAAGCTCGTGATCTTAGACGTGGGCGCGAACCGCATTCCGCACATCCCAGACATGGCGTCGCTGCAGGCACTCGAAGATCTCTGGCTCAACGACAACAACGTTGCGTCGTTCGATGATTTGTTGCACTTGACATCGAATACGTCGCTGCAAACGCTCTACTTGGAGCGCAACCCCCTCGCCTCGTACGTACCCAGCGATGGCACGCCCGTGACGGCTCCCTCCTTTTTACGTAGCGATTTCGAATACCGAAAGCGCATTCACGCGGCACTCCCGTTTGTGTCGCAAATCGACGCGACGCCCATTGCTTAACGGGATGGTCTCGGGACGAGTAAGACACATGTGTTCAAAGCAATAAATTTGGTCGTCCCCTTCGCAAGCTCCATGGCACGTGCGCAAGGTGCAGGCGCTTTATTCACCCTTGCCAGTCGCGCGGTTCATTGACGATGCTCTTTCACGGGCTCATTGCA